CCCACTCCCCAATCACTCAGGGGCAGCTAGAGTGAACCCCTACCCCAATCCCACCCAGACCTATAGTTCTTCTAGGATGGAGCAGAGGCCAGGCCCCGTTCCAGCTCGAGCAGGGTGACCGGTTGTCGGTGAGACTGACTCAGAACCAGACCCAGCCCTCCCTGTCTGGCCTCGGTCTTCCCATCGGTATGATAAGGTGCGCTGGGAACTAAATGACCTGGAGGATTCCTCAGACGCTAGGTGTCAGCGGTCGCCTCACCTCCTTCTTGCACACCCTCTTCAAGGTAAACCCCCTTTGAATGGCTGAGGGGAGGGACCCACAGACCCGGCCCAGGCAACGGCTTGGGTGGTTGTTCGCAGACAAGGAGGGATCCCAGGGACCCCTGAGGGAGTGGAGGGGCCCCAGCCCTCACCGGGCTCCATCGGATCAGGTGGTCGGTGCCCGGATCGCCCACCAGCGCCCATAGCTTGCTGAGGAAAGCTGGCACCGGGCTGGGGCCGGGCTCCGTGCGTGGCTCGGCCAGCGCTTCCTGCATAGCGCTGTCTCGGTGCTGCTGTGCGCTCAGCCCTGGGGCCCCGCAGTCACCGGCTTCTCAAAGCCGCGGAAAGTGCTGCGTTTGCGCCCGCTGGGTCCCACTCCGCCCACCGCGCACGGGTCAGGTCAGGTGGGGGCCGCGTGGGAGCCCGAGGGCGGGGCCGGACCGGCGCCCAGCACAAAGACACGCAGGCAGGGTCGCGGCTGTGGAGGGGCGGTGGGCAGGAAGACCTGCGTTCAAGTTCCACCTTGGTTGGGCCCGAAGTTTCCCCCTTTGTTCTTCGGAGAGATCAGCCATGCATGGCTGGGTGTGGTCTGGGCCATCTGAACGCCTTTGGGCACAGTGAAGCTCCAGGTTGCTCAGGTGGACAGGAGGCCAGAGAAGCCCGCGCCCTTCCTCCCACCTACCCGGGAGTTGTCATCCCGAGGTTGCCGAGTGCTCTGTCTTTCGTCACCACCACTCTCATTCAGCAGCAGTGCTTGAGGTTTCACCCTCTCCTGTTCCCGCCCAGAGGCTGCCAGCCTTTCACAGCAAGCAGAAATCCCGAAGGATTTATTTCTTTCACATTTAATCCCTGAGACCAGCCTTGTGCCTGTGCCCTCTCCACCACACTCCTCCTGCCCACCCCCACCCCCAGACGGGCTGAGGAGATCGCAGATTCCAGGGTGGAGAGAGGTTGGAGAAGGGGGGCCCTAGTGAGGGGAGGGGGTGATGCTGAGAGCATCAACTGGCCTCAGAGTGCTGGGCTGTTCCCTGCCGTCCCCAACGACCTCATTCCCTTGTAGACACAAAACGGGACGTTGAAGAAGGAGCTGTCAGTTGGTGGGCGCCTGCACACCTCCCTCCGGATCCCAGAGGCCACAGGAGTGTGATTGTGGGGGAGCGTTTTCCCCATCACTTCACAAATGTGGGCCGCCAGGGATGAGGCTCCCGCGTGAGCTTGAGCGTGTAGCTGCGCAGGCGCGGGCAGTGGGCTCGGAAAGCCTGCAGCACCGAGGGTCGCACCACGCAGAAGCAGTGCACCTCACGCAGGCCAGCGCAGTGCTCCGCCAGCTCCTCCAGGGCAGCGTCCAGCCCCGTCGAGGCGGTGGCGCGCACCTCGAGCACGCGCAAGGTTGTGGCATAGTGGAGCGCGGCGAAGCACACCGGGCCTATAGTGTCTCCAGAGAGGCAGAGGCGCAGCTCGGCCACTGGCATGGCCGGCTGCAGGACGCGCTCCACACTCTCGGTAGACAGGGCCGGCTCCAGCTCCAGTTCCACTGCCAGCCCAGGGTGCCGGCGGCGCAAGACCGCCCAGGCCGCGTTAGGCAGCGGAGGCGCGCGCGCGTCATCCCGGCACGCGCACCGCAGGGCCAGGCGCTCCAAGGGCGCCCGATCGGGCGCTGCCAGTGCTTCGAGGGCAGTGGGAGACAGGCTGGCCAGGTGCAGGCCGAGGGCACACAGGCGCGGGCAGGCTTCTAACAGCTGGAGCACAGAGCCGGGTCTCACGCTGCCCACCAGAGTATCGTTGTCCAGGAAAAGGCTGCGGAGCTCCGGGCAACCGCGTGCCACCTGCAGCACCAGTGTATCGTCCAGTGTGAAGGGCAAGCGCCGCAGGTTGAGGTGGCGCAGAGTACGAGCAGTCCGGCAGATGGCGTGCACGGCGTCCAGGACGTCGCGGCCGGCGTCAAAGAAAGGCTTCTCTCCCCGGCACTGCAGATGCAGGCCCTGCAGCCCACAGGTACGACCTGCCAGTGCGATCAGCAACATCGTGGCTTCCCTGCGGCTGGGTTCCCTGGAAGGCTCAAATTCCAGTCGTAGGTTGTGGATGTGGTCCAAGCCCGGGAGCAGATATGGTGGCAGCATGCTTTCTCCCTCACTGCTGCAACTTGAGGTTAGAGCAAAGGGGAAAAGCCATCAGTCTCCTTGCCACCAGCGAAGCTACCTCTACCCATCCTTCAGCCTAGGTTCCAGCTACCAGGCCCACTTCCTGGCCTGCACACATCTGTCTGTCCTGTTTATGCCTAATTGCTCCACAGTAACCACCACGCTGCAAAGGAGTTCCCACCCTCTCCCTTTATTTTCATGTTGTTGTTGTTGTTGTTAAAGATTTATTTTTTTATGCATACTGGGGTGCAGGCTACAGGTGCAGGGGCGGTGAGAGGCTTCACCAGAGACAGAGCGGAGAGCAGAACAGGCAGATTGACAAAGTACACTGCTGAGGGGAGCAGCAAGGAGACAGGAGAGGTCTGCTGCACCATTGGGTCTCCTCCCACCAAGTGGGTCACCATCACCGCCCCCCCAGGCTGGTAGGGATGGAACTGGCACCCAAGTGGCCAAGGCTAGCTTCACAGTGCTGTGTTTTAACCCACTGCCATCACCAGGGAGGCCACCTCTCCCTTTAGAAGAGATCAGATACTACAAGTCCATCAGCCTCAAGTTGAAACCCTGGCAGGGAGAGCTAATGGTGTTTTAGGAACTGGGCTTTCCAGCAGTGTCTAAGGAGGCAGGGTGGGGCTTCTGGACTGCCAGGTTCACTTTCCACCTTGACCACTTTTTAGCTGAGTGGTTTGCAGAAGCTGATGAAATCTCTGCCTGGATTTCCTCTGTGCAATGGAGATACCACTACTAGCTATCTACATATAAGATTTTCTTGAGGATAAACAAGTTAATATACGTGAGACACAGAACAGTGGTCGGTGTGTATAGACAGGAAATGTTACCGTGTGTATGCTTTTTTAACATGGGGACAGTCACTGCACCCCATCTAGCCCCTGACCCCACAGAGGGGGCGAAGGAGAGAGGGCTGTAAGATTGGGAGGGGCAGTGGGGTCTGCTCACCTGATGTCAGTGTGGTGCCACACTGTACTGCAGGTGGCAGCGGCAGCCCAGGCCCGGCAGACTCTGGCCACAGCAGCACGGTCCCGCAAGGACAGGTAGCTGAAGATGACTGCCAGCACCTCTTCTGGCAGCTGCTCTCCAGGCTCGGCCATGGCCCAGCAGCTGGTGGTTCCCTGCTCCCGGTGACAACTCTGTGCCTGGAGGGAAGTATGTCCCTTGGCTCAGAAAGACCACTGTGTTGAGGGGAAACACCAGAGCCTGTGGATAGAAATGCCTGTGCTCAGGAGCAGCTACATAATTGGCAGAGCCCAATGCAAAATGGAAATACAGAACTCTGTTCAAAAATAAGATTAAGACATGAAGACAATGACAGCAGAACATGAATAAACAGATCCATCAAATTAGTAAACCAGAGATGAGGCCCTGCTCAGACACATGAGGTTGACCCTGGATGCTGGCTTCTGATTCTCTTCAAATAGCTTTTTCACTTGTTGAGTAAATCCATCTTGTGGCATATGAGAAAGAACACAACCATCACCTATGGGCAAAGCTGAGAAAGAAAGTTCCCTAATTTTGGAGGATGCTATCATTTTCCTTTCTGGTTGGTAGTTCTTCCTGGGGAGAGCTGAAGGACTTCTGCAGAGGCCATGGCTGGAGACAACCTCAAGCTCCCCCTCAAGCTCAATGTGGGAGTGGGGTGGGGGTGTGGAGCCTCCCAGGCAGCACAGGGGTCTCTGAACCACTTGCTAGCCGATTTAGACTCTGATGCTAGGGATGGGCTGGCCCGAAGTCTGGCTTCTAGGGCTATTAAAATGACACAGAGTGCCCATATCTGCCTGGACAGCTGTTCACAATACAGATCCATGGCGCTCTCCTCCCCATGAGGCTTTCTGGAAGGAACAGCACCCAGGAATCTGATCGCAACAAGCACCAGTGTCCCACCTTGACAAAAACTCCCTCTAAGCCCGCCAGTCACTTGCTAGAAAGTGACTGTAGGGTTAATAGGGCGGGAGCATGAAAGAAGAGTGAATTGGCAGGACTGTCACAGCCAGTCAGGAAGCGGGGGCTGAGGGTGGAGCACTTCTGAATCCGCCCAGAGAGGGGAGGCTCCTTCCTCCAACTTGGGAGGGGGGACGTCCTGCGTACTTCCAATGAAAGGCCAGCGGGGTGGAGAAAAGCCCTGGTTTGAGGAGTCCTGGGATCGTCTTCTGATCCTGACCCCCAGCAGTCCAAGGCTCCCGTTGGGTGGTGTAGAGGCTGCTGGGGTTCCGAAGACCCAACCCGGAATGCAGCTTTCTCCGGAGTGTGGGGCGTTGTGGGGAAGTGTGCCTCCCTTTCGAAGTTGCCCGTTTAATTTCAAGGCGCTGGAAGGCTGGCGTACACAACGTTACACCCACTTGTCAGTTTTCCATTTCCCCATATTTTCCAGACTAACGAATTCTGCAGCAATTTGCCTCTCGAGTAATCTTGGGACTTCGGCTACCCTCGGCCAAACTTGAACCTGGGTCCCAGCAGCACCCGGTTCTGAGTGTGAGCGAGCAGCAGATTGTCGAGCTGGACCTTCTTCCAAAAGGGACCAGAAAATTCTGGCCCCCTTGTTGACACTAGCCCCGCGGGAGGAAACGGGGCAGCTCTCGCCCTGGTGCCCTCGGGCTTGGAAAGAACTGCGGGTCCCTTGCCGTGGGTTAGTTCTTCCTGCAGCCCAACTCGGGCGCCGGGTCTTACCTGCTCAGCGGACCGATGGGCTTTGCTCAGCGGCGGGTGGCAGGCGGCGGAGGACATCAGGGCGGCCAGGAACCTCCGAGAGCCGGGAGGGAAGGCGGGGAGGGGCAGACGGGAGGGCGGGACGCCCAGAGAGGCCCGGGCGGCCGGGGCTGGGCGCCGCCCCTGAGCTCCGCGCACACCCGGAAGCCGAGCGAGTCCATTGGAGCGGGGCGCGCGTGGGAACCCAGGCCGGGTCCCGGCGGCCAGGTGAGTGCTCAGGCGGTGGGCGCCGGGTGTCAGCGGGGTCGGGGGCGGATCCTAGCGCAGGAGCGTGGGCGCTGGGTGGTTGCCAGGGGCTGCCCCGGCCAGGTGGCGGCGGCCTTTGGGGCTGTTTCCACGAGAGGAAGGCGGGAGGGCCCCCTTCCTCCCAGCAAATTCCTTGCCCAACGAAGGGCTTTGCGGGGTGGCAGGGCCCCCCCTCCCCCGCAAGGTTAGTTGGCGGGGAGGAGTTCTGTGAGCAGAGACCCCTTGTCCGACCCAAGCAGTCTCTTGTGAGAAACTCCAGCGTGAGGGTGGGATAGTGGGAGGCTGGGGAGCTCCCCTCCAAAGTTTGGACGAGATTTGGATGCAGGGGTTGCTTGCTATCAGCCTCAGAGGGGCCACGACTGCAAACCCTCAGGGCCCATCCAGCAGAAGGTGGGGCTGCCCTGGAACTGTTAGGCTGTGTTAATGGGGCTCTGTGCCAGGCTAGATCTAGGTGAGGCGGGTGAGGCATATTTTCTTGAGTTGGTATCCGTTGTCCTCTCAGTCTTAGCCCAGCTAAGGATACCCTGGACCTAGCCAGAAGTTGAGATAGGCAGACTCTGGGTGGGTGGGGCGCGGGGCTTCCCGAGGAGGGACTTTGGTGGACAGACAATTTGGAAGCGGTTCCCAGAGGGAATAGGGGAGTCAAGCCCAGATGACCCTCCCAGCCCCCCACCCCCTCCTGATATGTGACCCTGTATTCCTCCAGCTGTGCAGATATTCCTTTGTCCAGCCCTAGAGAGTGAGGTGGAGTATTTTCCCTCCTCCAGATTTCAGTGGCCTCCAGCCTCCACTTCCTCCCCTTGAGGGAGGAGAAATAATATCCATGGGTCAGCACCATGTGGTGGCTAAGAAGACAGATAAAGGAAACTTCTGCAGGTTCCCACAGTCACCAAGTAGTGTCCCTGCCACTTTGCTCCCGCGTGTCACTTACATTCTCACCCGGTTGCTCTTGCTTTATAAGAAAAACAAATTAAAAAAAAAAAAAAGAAAAACAAATTCATTTGACTTAAAAAAAAAAAGATTTATTTTCTTAAGCATACAAGAGCGGGGGTGTAAGCCAGAGGTGTAGAGGGGTGAGAGGATTCACCAGAGACACAGTGGGGAGCAGAGCAGGCTGATCCACTGAGGGGAGCAGCGGAGGAGACAGGAGAGGTCTGCTGTGCTGTGTGGGTCACTCCCTGGCTGGGGATCGAATCTGTTGGAATCTGTGCTGTAGTTGCTGTGGACAGCTTCATAGTGCTGCATTTTAACCCCTTGCACCTCCAGGGAGGCCCCAACAATGAAGGGGGCCAGAGTAGGACCATGACCAGATACCATTTCTCTTGCCAAATGTGGGAAGGCCATTGGCCAGCTACTGTCTGGCTTTGGCACTCCAGTTAGGGCCTGGGGCACAGTTGAAGTTCAGCCTCTACTTTGAGATCAGAATCTCTATTCTCTTCCCAGCAATACCCACAACTATGGTCTTGGCTCCTCCTGACACCGCCTCCCTTGAGGTTCCCTGCTCCTCATGTAAGCAGATGCCAGCTGGGACCACCTCATTTGTCTTGCCCAGAGCAATGACATTCAGGGTGCTCACAAGCAGGAGCACAGCACCCCTCCTAGACACCATTTGTAAATAGCAGACTAAACAGTAAGGAAATGGGACTGATGGGGTCTTGAGCCCATATTGCTAGGAAAAGGGTGGAGTGTTGCCTCATGTGTGGGGAAGGAAGAATCAGGGCTCTTTCCCACCTGCTGCTCCATGGCACAATTAAGTACTGGGGGGCCACTGAGCTTGGGGGTCAATGCAGTGGGTCCCTGGTCTAGATGTTTGGAATTTTGCCTCCACCCCCAGGCTTTCTATATCAGTTTCATTCTCAGGCTCTTTCCTGGTGGTGGCAGAGCAGATCCCGCTTCCCACCCAGCCCAAGGGAAGGGAAACCAATGCCTCTTTCCTGATCATCCAGCCAAGATGATTGAGTCCTCTGCCCAGCTCTAAACTAATCAGATCAGAAAGAGTGGAATATGCACTTTAGCCAGGCCTGTTCCATTGGCTACGCTGGAGCTAGGAGTGAGGTTGGCTCTCTCAAAAGGCACATGGGTGGAGCAGGGTGAGGCCCCAAAGGTCAGTCAGGATTGTGGGAAGTATCTACGCAGGTGGAAACCACAGGTGTTCTGCTATGTGGTGCAGGAAGTAGACTAGGAACAAAGGTGAGAAAAGGGGGGGTGTACTGTGGTCCCACAGCAGGACATGGGTTCGGTGGCTTCAGGGCATGGACACCCTCTAGGATGAAGATGTCTCCTTTCAGTTTTAGTAAGAGGGACACCCTGGTCTGAGAAGAGGACAGAACTCTGACTCTGCTGTAGAAGCTCACCTGCTACTCCGGCCATAGTGACCCTGGGCTCTTTCTCCCAGAAGACAGTGGAGAGTCCAACCCTCACTGCAAGCCTATGCTGAGGTGGGCTGGGCTGGGCTGAGGGGCTGTGCAGACCCAGAAACACCAGGGGCTGCCTGTGAGATGATGACACCCCCCACACACACACCTGTGGGCCAGCTAGGTGGGGAGGGCCAGCTGGGCACCAGCTGTGGAGGGGACATCTGGGCCACGTGGGACTGCACAGTTGTCTCTGGGACTGGATCGGAGGTGAGCTGGACGCCTACCTGCATCTTTAGGAGGCAAGATGGCAGCTGGGCCAAATGGGCTCGAGGAGTGGGTGGGCAGCGCATACCTGTTTGTGGAGTCCTCGCTGGACAAGGTGGTCCTGTCGGATGCCTACGCGCACCCCCAGCAGAAGGTGGCAGTGTACAGGGCTCTGCGGGCCGCATTGGCAGGTGCGTGGGTGGGCGGGCACTTGGAGAGGAGGGGGGCCTGGGACCTTTTGTGGGCAGGTGCAGAGGGTGAGGCCACACCTCTTCACCTCTGTGGGGCTGTGCTTAACCACCTGTTAGAGGAAGACTGGAAGGGGTGGGGAGAGGGAGCCATTTGGCCCTGAAGGTACGGCCTCCTCCATTCATGCATGTGTGCCCTTGGGTGGAGCCTGTGACCCCGAGTCTGTGCCGTGTGCTGCGCCGGACTAATGCCCCTGCCTGGTGTCTCCCATTCCTCAGACCAGCCGGCTCTCTGCTTCCTACTAATAGCGCGTCTCCTCTTTCCTCTCATGGCAGCACTTCTTGCCCAAGATCCAGCCCCTGTATCTACTTTTCAAGCCTCCCCTTCCATGTCAGGGCAGAGCTCACAGAAGGCTGAAGCCGGTTGGGTGACCTGGCCTCAGTCCCAGAGCAGCAAGAACCCCTCTCCCTCCTGGGCTGCGGGAGCCACACTTGGTGGAGGCGGAAGACCTGATACCTCCTGGCCCTGCTCCCCAATGTCCAGGCCTCTCTCTGTCACAAAGTCTCTCCTCTCACCCCTTTAGCGCACCCACCCTCATTTGGGGCTGCAGGAATGAGAGTAGAGTGGCACCCACTCCATCTTGTGTGTGTGGGGGGCAGCTCCTTGTGATAGGTCCTGGTCCTCATAGTTGCTGTGGGCATAGCAGTTTTGCTTCTTTCCCAACTGGGTGTCCTGGGGTAATGCCCAGGGCCCCAGGTCTGGGGGTGGGGGTGGCTCTAACCTCAGGCTTCACTTTCCTCTAACCACTTGGAGAAAAGCCCCATATGGGAACTGCCTGGGCCTGACCGCCCACCTCCGCAGAGTGCGGCGGGAGCCCGGAGGTGCTGCAGATCCTCAAAATCCACCGCAGCGACCCGCAGCTGATTGTACAGATGCGATTCTGCGGGCGCCCGCACTGCGGCCGCTTCCTCCGTGCCTACCGCGAGGGGGCGCTGCGCGCCGCTCTGCAGAGGTGCTTGGCCGAGGCCCTCGCCCTCCCCTCGATGCGGTTGCAACTGGAGCTGCGCGCGGGCGTGGAGACGCTGGACGCCTTGTTGGTAGATGAGGAGCGCTGTTTGAATTGCATCTTTGCCCAGAAGGTGCGGCCGGCTGGGACGGGATGGGGTGGGGGTGGGGATCCCAGCTAAGACCTCCCTCACGGGCACCGCACTCCTCTTCCCAGCCCGATCGGCTCCAGGATGAGGAACTCGTGGAGTTGGAGGATGCACTGCGGAAGCTGTCCTGCGGCTCAGGGGAGCAGGCCGCGTCTGTCCCCATCAAGTCCCAGACCCCCTCTCTGTCGGAGGAGAAACGGCTGCCACCGCCAGCTGACCAGACTTTTCTGTTCCAGGGTCAGCCCGTAGGTGAGGCAGAGGCAAGGTCACCTTTGGATGGAGTTTGGGGAGGAGCTAGGTCTAGGGAGACGCGCGGCTGAAAGGGAGCTGTGCCGCTGAGCTCACCCCACTTTCCGTCCCCACACCCCCTCCTGCAGTGAACCGGCCACTGAGCCTGCAAGACCAACAGAAGTTCGCGCGCTCAGTGGGCCTCAAATGGCGCAAAGTGGGACGCACGCTGCAGCGCAGCTGTCGTGCGCTGCGGGATCCGGCGCTGGACTCACTGGCCTATGAGTACGAGCGCGAAGGGCTCTACGAGCAGGCCTTCCAGCTGCTGCGGCGCTTCGTCCAGGCTGAGGGCCGCCGAGCGACGCTACAGCGCCTGGTGGAGGCCCTCGAGGAGAACGAGCTCACCAGCCTGGCTGAGGACTTGTTGGGTCTGGCAAATGCAGATGGCAGCCTGGCCTAGGCTGTGGAAAGGAAGGGGTGGCCGGCCAGCTGCCCGCCATTTGGAGCATCCTCGTGAGATTGGAACATAGGGTCCCTTCTGCTGCTACTGTTGACCCGTCCACCCTCCAGACTCTGGGTCATCGACCTCCCACTTAGCTGATCTGCTGGAACTCCATGAGCGGAGTTGACTACCTTCCCCAGGAGTTGGACAGACACCCACCCTACCTGCTGGGGACACCTCTGGGGGTCCAGCCCCGGGTACTTTAATAAAGACAGAGAATGTATGTCACCTGCTGCTTCTCTGGCCTCACCCTCTTGTACCTCGCAGGAGGGGCTCCTGCCAGCCCTTACTCCTCAATAATGGAAGATTTCCCATTAAGCACCTGCTGGGAATAGGCCATTTAATATGGGGCCTCCCATATTAAACTACAGTAATAAAATATTATGGTTTTTGATGTGAAAAACACAAGAAGTTGGGGGAAATAATGAGCAGGGGCCTAGCTCGGGCTAGCAGTCAGGCTTCCTAGACGAGATAGAATGTGAATAAGGAGCGGGTGAATTTTCTTTGCGTGGCAAGCCTCCGGTGAGGTCTTGCAGAAAGTAAGAGGGAGAGATGTTAGGAGAACAGAAAGAAGACTAGAAAGAGGTAGATGGATTTGCAGAGTTTGGCTGGTGGGTGGGAGAGGCAGATGGCATGGCATTTTTTTCAGACTTTGGAATTGATGCAAGGGTCTGGAAGAGGAGACCAGTGGCTCATAAGACTGGGGTGCTGGCATCAGAGATGGTAAGGGGGTGAACACATTTATCTAGGATGGGGGGTAATGGGCCTGGTGACCTTGGATGAAGAGTGGGGTGAAGAACCTCCAGAGTGTGGTGGGGAGTGGGGTTGTCTGCTGAGATGGGGCGCTGGGGAGGTGAAATGCTCTCTTTTTGGTATAGGAGGGAATAGCCTCAGATGTTCTGGAGGATTTCCAAGGAGAAAGTGGAGGCCAGCTGGACCTATAGTTCTGAGATCAGGAGAGGGTCAAGCCTAAAGATTCACCAACAGTGGGAGTGGGTGGGGTGGTTCCAGGTCACCAGCTAGAAAAGGAGCAGGAAAATCTGGCGATGTGGAGGTCAGGGAATACCCACTGCCATGATGGAGGCCGAGGCTGGGTCAAGACAGCATGCCCACTGGAATCAAGGAACAGGTTACTAGGCGGGGCTGTTTGTGGGAGGTGGTGGGGATAGTAGCCGGAAGCGAGAATACAGGAAAGGGTCGGAGGCAGTGGACAAAGCTAGAGTAGGGGACTCGGAGAGGTCCAAATAGGACAGGGTGATGCTTAGTCTCGTGTTTGCTTTTATTTTATTTTTTTTTTTTAGATTTCTTTATTCGTACAGAACTGGGGTACAGGCCAGAGATGTGGAGGGTGAGAGGCTTCACCAGAGACAGAGTGGGGAGCAGAACAGGCAGATCAACAAAGTACACTGCTGAGGGGAGCAGCGGGCGGGTCAGGAGAGGTCTGCCTCGCCATGTGGGTCAGCTCCGGGGCAGGCGGGGATTGAACTCATGTGGAAGTGGCTTAAGCTTCTTTGTGCTGTGCTTTAACCCGCTGCGCCACCAGGGAGGGCCGTAATGTTTGCTTTTTTAAAGATTTTTTTATGCTTACAGAACTGGGCCAGAGGTGTGGTGGGTGAGAGGGTTCACCAGAGACAGAGTGGGGTGCAGAACAGGCAGATTGTTGAAGTACACTGCTGAGGGGAGCAGTGGCAGGCCAGGAGAGGTCTGCTGTGCCTTGAGGCTCAGCTACCTGGGGGGGTGTGCTGTAGTGGCTTTGGAGAACTTCATAATGCTGTGCTTTAACCAGTTACGCCACCAGGGAGGGCCCTAAAGTGTTTGCTTTTTAAGGACATTGGTGAGAAGTTGTCAGGAGCTGGCCTAAAAAGAGGATGCCCTGAGTAACGGTGCTGGTTCTTAGAAATCTGGGGGTGGGGGTGAGCAGTAGGGCTGTCTACTTCAGGCCTCATTGCCTGGGAGGTTGGAGTTCCAGGAAGAGAGCGCTTTGGCTAGACTAGGGGCTGAGTCCTCAGTCTCCAGAGCATCTCTCCACCTGCCTGAGTCCCGTCAAACCCTCTGCTCGCTGGTCCACTTCCAGAGTGTCCCCGAAGTGAACAACCCTTGCCAGCCTAACCCAGCCTGCAGTCACCCAGGTATGGCGATTTCTCCCCGCAGGAGGCTCCAGGGACTGGGAGACTCAGAACTGCCTCTGGGGACAAACTGAAATGCTCACATGTGATGTTAAAGCAGACAGGGTTGCTATACCGCCTCTGTGCGGATCCCAGTGGATGGATGGGCAAGAGGCAGGCAGGAAGAGTCCTGGACTAAGCTCTAGAAGACCTGGGGTGGTGACCTTACCCGAGCGACACAAACTGCTGCTTGAGTTGTGAGAACTGAACTAGCTGCTGGTGTGTGTGTGTGCACACCTGCTGCCCGTGGAGGTGGGCAGGAGTAAGGAGGCAGCCATGTGTCCAGTGGTGGTCTTGGGCCCTGCCTGCTGCAGGGAGCCAGGCTGCTAGTGAGCTGAGAGGCGCTACTTGGATGCGTTGGGCCTGTGCTTAAGTTCCTGGGCCTCAGGGTTTGGGAGCTGCTGCCTCAGGCCTCCTGCCAGCTCAGACTCTGTTTCACATCAGGGAGCCAAAGGGGGGCTGCCCCCTCCCCCAAAAAAGTTGGACAGGGAGAGTCCAAAACTGCCCATAGGCCTGAATCCACCACATTTTTGGGGTTGCCAGAGAGTTGTCTGTGAGGATCCCTCTCTAAGACCAGACTAATCTGCACCCGAGACATGACTCCCGGCGCCTGGGCGGAGCTGGACTCCAGATGTCCGGGCATGCACAGCTGGAGGGTCACGTGGCAGCAGCCAGCTCCCCTTTCCTGCCAGCACTGCATCTGGCCCTGGCCGGTCCAGGGCCTTCTTTGGGACCTTGCGCGGGGCCTCGCAGGCAGTGAAATCCGCAGCAGTGCGGCTCCCGGGCGGGCGGAGTGTAAGTAGTGGGGTCCGCAGGACCGACTGGTAGGGTGGGTTAGCTGTGATTCCCGCTGAGTAAGGGGAAAATGGGCAGGGGATGCCGAGTAGGGGGCCGGGGGGCACAGACCTGCACCGGAGCTGAAGGCGTGGAATTGGCCTCTAGGAGGTATTTATTGTCCTTTCAGGGTGCCCATCCCGGTGGGAGGGTTCAGGGACCAGCGTAAGAAGCCACCGGATGGGGACCAACGGCCGGTAGCTGCTGACACGGGGCTCGTGGCGTCCGGCCCCTTCCTCTGGAGGAGGGTGGGGCCGGGAGACCCTGCCGGTTGCTGCTTCCACCTCCCGAGCCCCTGGCAGAGTTTCGGGCGCCCGCCCAGGGGGCCATGAGGCGGAGGCTGCGCCTACGCGGGGACGCGTTGCTCACTCTGCTCCTCAGCGCCGCCCTCGGCCTCCTGCTCTACGCGCAGCGAGAAGGCTCAGCCACCACCACAGGCGCGCCGCCCGCGCCCCGGAGGGCGGCTCCCCGGCCCACCCCCGGGCTCCGCGAGTTTCAGGCACCGGACTCGGACGCAGCCCCGCCAGTCTACGAAGGGGACACGCCGGAACCGCCCACGCCCACGGGACCCTTTGACTTCGGCCACTACCTGCGCGCCAAGGACCAGCGCCACTTCCCGCTTCTCATTAACCAGCCCTCCAAGTGCCGCGGCGGCAGCCCTCGCGGGGGCCGGCCCGAGCTGCTCATCGCCGTCAAGTCCGTGGCGGCTGACTTCGAGCGGCGGCAAGCGGTGCGCCAGACGTGGGGAGCGGAGGGGCGCGTGCAGACGGCGCTTGTGCGCCGCGTGTTCTTGCTGGGCTTGCCCAGGGGCGCGGGTGCAGACCGCGCGGAGCAGGAAGGAGCCCGCACGCAGACGCACTGGCTCTCCTTGCTGCACGCCGAGAGCAGAGTGTATGCGGATATCCTGCTCTGGGCCTTCGACGACACTTTCTTCAATCTAACGCTCAAAGAGGTCCACTTTCTGGCCTGGGCCTCGGCCTATTGCCCCAACGTGAGCTTTGTTTTTAAGGGTGATGCCGATGTGTTTGTACACGTGGGAAACCTCCTGGAGTTCCTGGCGCAGAGGGACCCTGCGCAAGACCTGCTCGCAGGTGATGTGATCCTGCAGGCGCGGCCAATCCGCGCTCGAGCCAGCAAGTACTACATCCCCCAGGCCGTGTATGGCCTCCCGGCCTACCCAGCCTACGCCGGCGGTGGCGGGTTCGTGCTCTCTGGCACCACGTTGCGGCGACTGGCCAACGCCTGCGCTCAGGTTGAGCTCTTCCCCATAGACGACGTCTTTCTGGGCATGTGCTTGCAGCGTCTGCGGCTCGCGCCTGAGCCTCACCCCGCTTTCCGTACCTTTGGCATCCCCCCGCCTTCAGCTGCCCCGCACCTCCGCACCTTTGACCCCTGCTTTTACCGTGAGCTAGTTGTGGTGCACGGGCTCTCGGCCGCCGACATCTGGCTCATGTGGCACCTGTTGAACGGGAGGCACAGGCCCACCTGTGCCCACCCAAGACCTGTGGCAGCTGACGCCTTCCAGTGGGGCCCCTGATCACCGCCCGTTCAGACCCAGGATGCAGCCAGTGTTGGAAGTGATTTTGCAGGCACATTTATTTCACTTCCTTCCCCAGAAAGGGGCAAAGGGCTGCCCACAGCGTCCCAGGGCATGAGGCTGAGTTGGCTCACACAAGTGGGAGCAGGTCTGAATACTCTTACTGGCAATTCTTCAAGAGAGGTGTGTGTGTGTGGGGGGGGGCATTGGCTCCACCAAGCAGCCTGTCCGGTGGAGGGGTTGCTGGTGGCAGGGGCTGACGCAGTCTGGCCGTACTCCTTGAACCCTAGAATGATGTGGACACTTTGCAGGCCTTTCCCAAGGTTGAACCCCTGGGGGTGGGGGGTGCAGGCAGACATTTTGCCAGAACTCAGTCTGAAGCAACAAGGTACTTCCCAATTGCCCCTCCAAATTGGGATTTTCAGCCCTGTCCAGGTTCTTGGGTCTGAAATCTGCTTTCTAGGAGCCAGCCCTCCTGGGCTCTGGTCTAGCTACAGCACCAGGCAGGGAGGTACAAAGGGGACAAATGAGCGCATGGTCCTTCCCAAAGTCTTTCCCCACCTCCAACTCCCACCACGCACAAACCTACACCAAACACGGGATGCCAGTCCCCCACTGTAAGGCTGTAGGAATCCCCCTTCAGAAGGGTCACGGGGCCTAAGATGACTCCAATTATAAAATCTCCCGCACCTTCAACCACCCTTCCTCAAGAAAGAAAAAAATCAACACTCGACACTTATTTTAGTACAAACATATCAGCAACGGAACATGTGAGCCGTTGCTGAGGGCAAAGATCTTTATTGAAGGGGGTGTGGGCAGGGGGTGAGGAAGGTTCCCCCGTTCCAGGAGGATGGGAACAGTCCTGGCTGTCCCTGACAGTGGGCTGTGCGGGGGTCTCTGGCCAGGCCACAGTCCAAGTGGGAAGACACCAGTTAGTCACAAAGTCACGGGAGCGCCACACAAGCCTAGCTGTAGGCCCAGTCACCACGTGGAGCCCGGGGCAGGTCCCTGCACATTCATTGTTAAACTATACAGGATGAGGCTGTACATGAGTTAATTACAAAAGTCATATTTACAAAAATCTGTACACACATTTGAAAAACTCACAAAATTTTCATCTATGTATCACAAGTTGCTAGACCAAAATATTAAAAATGGGATAAAATTATACATTTCTCTTCGCAATTCTTTTCAAAAGGATTAATATTTTTTAAAGCACATATGCTACTTCCTTAGTAAGACCCATGAAGAGACTGAGCAGCCCAGCTCTCCTTGGTCCCCAAGGCCTTGAGCCACGAACAGGCCCACCTAGGAGACCCTGCCCAGGGTTGGGGCAGGGGAGCTGGCCCACAGTGCAGAACACAATGCTGAGACACAACAGAAGAGGAAGATGTCTTTGGCTAAAACTTTGGCATTAAATAAAAGAGGCAGACGGGATGGAGACATGCAGCCCTGCCGGGCAGACCCTCTTGGAGGCTGGCTCCAAGATGGGGCCGGGGGTGTGTGGTAAGACCAGGTCCGGGCACGAGCCTGGATGGTAGAAAGCGGTGTTTCAGCCATTTGGGTGTACCTGCCGGGCCTGGCCGGGAGCGCGTGCGAGAAAGAAACAGGGAAGGGCGGGTGGGCCGCCGTGGCCACAGCCAGCTCATCAAGTAACTAAAGTGGATGTAGTGCAAAAGTCGCAACCAAGTACTATGGACATGCCACCTGCTTGCCGTAAGGGCCATGTGGCAATGTGGCGCCAAAGGCAGGACCTTGTCCTCTTCCCGGGTGCCTGTGTCCGCAGCCACAGAAGAGCCCCACGTTTTCCCAATGTGTGTGGGACCAGGGAGACAGAACCCTGCCTCTTTACATGTCAGGTGGAAGCTCCTGGGTCCGGGTATCAAGGCTCAGAGTTTGTGCTTCTCTTTGCAGTCTGTATTCTCTGTTGGCACCAGCAGGCTGAGGATGGACAGAGGAATATCTGGGCCTCTCACCTCACGGCAGAGCACCCAGCCTGAGCCCCACCTCAGAACATCACAGCAGCCCTTCAACACTGGCAAGGTGTCCAAGAAAACCCACAGGGTGGCACTTGGAGGCCCACTGAGCAGGATGCAACACAGTTCCAGGGGACAAGGGGCATGGGTGGTGATGTCCCTAGGGAAGCTCTGCTGTTCTCAGGTGGGCACCAGGCCTGGGGGGGCCATACAGGGTCACCGAGGCAATGTGGTTGTTCTGCATGACCTGGTGGGAGAAGACAGTGAGTCACACAGGAGCACAAGTGATACGGCGGAGCGGATGGCGGGACCCATTAAAGCCTCCTCTGGAATCAGAGGGGCTCCATGGAGAAGGGGCCTGAGGTGGAGTCTGAGCATGGGAGCAGAGACTGCGTGTGCAACACACCGGCACACACGCCGGACCGGGTGCCCCAACACCCCCCAACCCCTGTAGGGGTTCTGCCCCAGAGACCATCTTCCTGTTCTTCTTGGGGTACATAAAACTTCCCCATACCCATCTGCCCAGTTCTTTTGAACCTTCCGCTGAAGGTGTGGCATTCAGAAGGGTAAAGAGGGGCAGAGACTATTCTCCCAAGTCAGGGGAGTCTTTATAGCCACCACCCACACGATGTTCATCTTCATGGCATTCCAAGGCCCCCAACACCCCTGGGTGCCCTGTGGTTCCCTTCTCTGTATTTTCGTTTTCAGATGTAACTGTGGGATCTCCATTACTCTGTTAGCTTGATGGACAGAGGCTTAGCCTCTGTAACCCCAAACTTCCCCAACCCAGTTTCTTTTTCTTTTCTTTTTTAAAGATTTACTTATTTATTCATACAGAACTGGGGAGTAGGCCAGAGGTGAGATGATTCAGCAGAGACAGAGTGGGGAGCAGAACAGGCAGACAGCTGCTGGGAGTAATCACCCAGCAGGGAGTTGACCCTCTTTGTCTCTTTCAAATCACTTGCCCATCATTACCTAACAGCTCAGCCCCCAGGGTTTACCTCAAAGATCATCCTCTGAAGACCAAAGCAGAAAGTGGAGCCAAATGGGTTGGTGTTATTTGGGGAGGAGGACCTGAGGCAGGGAAAACCAGAATCAGAGGGGCAGACACACGGCCAGCCCCTTCCAGATCGGAGCACCGACCAGCGGCCTGTGCTGCAGCCTGCGTGCGGTGCGCAGGTGCGTGAGGTCCTCTGGAGCCAGCACAGCCGTGAGGCAGAGACAGACTGTGCACTGCACCAGGGTGGCGAGGAGGGGAGGCCCCAGGAAGCGTGGCGACTAGGTACGGGATGCTGACTGGCAGGCAGCAGCTTCCAAGGGGAGAAACGAGCCGACGACAGTTATCACAACTGCCTCACTTCCTAATTGCTAAGAGTGAGAGGGGCACCCCGTCTAGCAGTGGGGGGAGTTGTCCCCAGGGTGGGGGGCAGCCACCTTGATACAGGTAACGAACGAGAACAGCCACCCCAGTCCTACTGCCCCCCTCCGCCCCTGAGGAGGGAGTGGGAAGTATATTTAGAAGTGTCTGTACTTTCAAGTAATGCCTGCTGCTAGGCTTTGCTGTGCTTCCAGGCTGCGAGGAGCAGGATGGGCAGTCAGTGTCAGCAGCCTCCCAGTTACTTACCTGTGCAGGACAACAGGCTTCTCCACAGGGTGGCCCAGGAGCTCCTGGATATTGTCCCACTGCAAGAAGGACGGGGCAGCAGGGGGTTAGCAGGTACCTGACCACACTAATGACCAAAGAGGACAAGGGTCCCAGACTGCTGGCAGTTTCATGTTCACCTTATTTTCGGGGTGTGGCAGGTGGGAAAATAGGAGCTCACCTTGCTGTAAGTTGTGCAAGTTTCTGTCTGACCATCTGCATTTTCTGAAAAGAGAACACAGGGTGGTTGGAAGTTGCCCCCGTCTAGATTCAGCTCTATACCTGGTAGATGGCTCAGCCCACCTGTGACCCCAACCCTAGGAAGAATTCAGATCTGGCCACCCTTTGCACTGGGCTTAGAGTAAAGAGGTGGGTAGTCGGGTTGTTCTGGAGTCTCTGGGAGAGTAGAAGGTTGAAGGGAGCCAGTCAGGTGTGAACTGCAGTCAAGGCTGGGCTGGGAGCCCCTGGGTGATCTGTAGATAGGAAACTCCACTAGAGAGGTCAGTCATTCCACAGACACAGAAAAAGACTGTGCAGGTCTCCAGGAGACTAGAGACCAAGAATAATGCAGGCCCCAGAGTCAGAAGGTCAACCCAGAGATGAGGCTATGGGCAGAAGCAGCGGGTAAGGCTCCATCAGCCCTGCCAGTCGCGGCCACCCTCTGCTTGGAGCCCCGCCCCTTCTCACCGCGAGAGACTCCAAAACCCTCCCCTTATCCCGAGGACACCCGCTACTCACCTTTCTTTATGGCTAGTGGGATCTTGAACTCACAGCGGTGATAACTAGGGAAAGAAGGCAAATAGATATAGGCTGGGTTCTCTGGGAGATCTGATCACCCCTACAGCTGAGCCCTGCACCCCAGGAAAAACAGAATCAAACAGGCCTAAAGTCCTGAAGTAAAACTCAGTAAATGTTTAGTTCCCTTGAAATAGCAAGAATTCAGGTATAGAACATCCAAAGCCATAAGCTCTTTTTCCTGGTGATTTTTCAGCCCAAAGCTCACTTCTTAGAGGCAGGTAAAGGCATACTCACATATTAAAATTGTAATGCCCAGGGTAGTTGGTATGTAGGACAAACTTCTTCACTTTGTGTGTATTTGCGTCAAAGAGGATGTCCTGGGGTAGAGAAGAAGGATGACCAAGGAGGGCAAGTGACTGAGGCGGGACAGGGGCCTTTTCAAGGACGCTCTCTGTAGAAGTCAGCAACCCCTGGAACTCAAGTTCCAGCTTCTCCCCTGAATTTGATGCTGCCTGTTAAGCGATTCCTCCTGCCCCAACACCATGCCAGCTGTTCAGGCCTGTGACCCCAGGGTCATCCCTAATTTTACCCTCGACCAACAGCTTCACTACATCCTGTTGGGGCTGGCCTGTTCGTTCCATCTTCTCAGACACCTATCATCACTGGCCCCTGAACTCAAAACAGATCCAGCTTACAACAGTATCAGCCCTCCTGCCACCATCTCCGCGAGTTTATGCTCCACTGCCACTCCCTCACTACTCCAGGTTCCAGTCAGGTCTTTCCCACACAGGAAGATCCAATGCTGCTTTTCTCCCTTTTTGGAACCTACTTTTAAAAAAGATTTACTTTATGTCCCATAGCCCCCAGCTATTTCTCTCAAAAAAGAAGTCAAGAGATGGGAGTTAGCTGGGCCTGGTTCCCCGCTGCCAGGCATGGTCACAGCTGGACAGTGTGCTCAGAACACTGTCCAGTGCATCTTCTCTAGGGAATCACAACTTACCACGCCAAGAGTGAAGTAGTTAAAAAAGTAGTCATTGCACTTGGACGGAACTTGCTTATGAGGGGAAGGAGAGTGAATTTTCATCTGTTGGGACAAAAACAGCAAATTAAAATCTGCCCCCCTCAACAAAGTTCTTATATTAAAGTTTACAAAAAGTATTTCTCATGTAACATTAAGCTAGAGGGTAAGCAAGCTTGTCGGAGTCCCACTGCTGCTGCTGACCAACCTAACTGGCTGTGGCCGACCAAGGCCAGGTTCTGGTGTCCAGACAAGGCACTCTGACCAACAAGACTCAGAGAAAAGCTTTCTATTTACTTCTCCATCAGTTTAAACAGAAAAAGGTCTATGGGAAAACAGCAGTGTATCTTTATTTATTTAACATTGGTTACAAAAAATAAGAGACAGCCTCCATTCACTTTATAAATACATGTCCCCTACCTTGTCTTCTGACTTATAGAAGACCTTGTGTGGAGAGCCGAGCATACTAAGAACATCTTGGCAGGAATCACCAAAATACACTGAGCGCTCAAATACCCGCATCTTGGCATCTGCCAGCAGGCCAGGTCCACAACCTGCAGAGGACAGGGAGAAGTGTTCCACATCAGAGCCGGAGACCCTGTAGCCCTGTGCCATAGGCTGAGGGGATGCTGAGCGCATCAGGAGCGGTCTCTGCGCACAACAGAGCTATGGCATGAATTTCCCAAGCAGATAATTATACGACTGGGGTACAGTAAACAGCGCTAAGCTGTTCATACAAGCTGTTTTCCAACAAGATGCAAGAATTTATGTTCAAAGTTACCTCTCAACAGTAGCCCCTAAGGAGAGACTGGACTTAAAGGTTACTCTATAAAGAGCCAAGAGTGCAGCACCCATTAACTCACTCACTAATTCTATAAACACCCAAAAGACCACTATACTCAAAAGTGACAAGCCAGGTAAGTGCAAGGATGGATAAACCATTTGATCCGCCAAACATTCTATAACTGGGAGAATCTCTAATTTGAGTTTGATACATTTTAGAAGTGGTTCCAGTTAAACATACACACACAGAAGTGGTTGCAGAATTGTAATAAGACACACAAAGAGTAAATTTCCCCCCCATTTTGTGGGTGGGAAGACAAAGTGTTTTGCCCAAAATGAAATAAAGGAAGCTGAGATCACAATTCCTGGTACCACAACCAGACACTCCTTACTCTGCACTGTTGACACGGCTTTTATGTCCAACGATCCACTTATTAGACAAACATGACTCCAGTGACTGAAAATCTGAAATAGCGCACATATACACTGAGCAGCAAACAAAGGCCGTGTCTAAATTAGCCAAGCCTTGGAAAACGCACAGTTCACATTAATCTCTGTCCATTAAGTCCTGGAGCTTTGGGCAGTTTAGGTGACCTACAGGATCCATGAAAAGCCCTGTCAAGCCAGACTGCACACCGGTCTCCAGGTAGCAGGCCAAGGTAAATGTCCAAATGGGGCGAGAGGAAAGGGGTCCTCACTGGTGAGTTTTCTTGTCTCGCTCTGCCTAAAGCCTAGTCAAGTGCAGTTACCCTTAGTTCTAGGAGACTTTTAATTTCTGATTCCCTCGTGTCAGCCATTATATAAATTACTATGGGAAACCAGAGAGGTGAATTGACTTTCTGTATTAAAAGCATCACTGCAATCATACTCCACAAAGAAACAGATAGGAGAAATGGGTCAGGTAAGACAAGCTGCCACTTGGCTTGCTGGAGGGAACTCTCCATGAGCACTGGAGTGGCCAGCAACTCAGCAGACACTGACTTAAAATGTTTCCCCTACTGACCACGCGAGCAGTTAGGGTGGGAGTCAGAATTGGCGGGGAGCTCCAACCCCAGTAGGCTTTTCCGGTTGTCACCTGAGATAATTGTACCATCTTTCACAACCCTGCAATTTCAAGCAATGATTCTTCCTGAATGAGAAGATTCCAAATTATTTGACCTTTTAATTCTTTCAAAAACCAAATAAAGCTCAAGGGCATCTTTTTGGACACAAACTCCAACAGGATAGTCCTATCCTTTTAAGACCAAAAGTAGCTGAGAATGGCCAAGTACAAGAACATTACAAAATGAGGTATAGAGATCAGCTACTTCAGCTTTTTGTTGTTGTTGCTGTACAGTCATCAAAACTCTCAGCAGGGTGTGTGGTCAAACCACAATTCAAGAAATTCGTCCATCCAGCATACTCTGAGAACTGGGAATTAAGGGTAGAGAAGGGGGAGTGGAATATAGACTGCAGTCCACCAGCTGTATCTCCAGGAAACAGCCTGAAAGTCATAAAGTCACACAGGGACATGGAAGGCTGCCGTACACACTGAAGGAAGCAGTGCTCCTGTCATGTATTAGGATTTGCTAATAATAAGATCACATTTTATCCCTTCACAAAACTAAATGAAACCTTTAAGCATGAACGTTTGTTTTCCATGTTAATAATGGGGATTGGAATCCTCATTATTGTCCTTTGATAATCTAAAATCCCGCATGACTAGAGGATTCCAATCCCACCACTCCAAATCAGTAACTGACCTGCAGCAAGTAGGCGAAGTCGTAAACCTGAAGGTCCAGTTCCATCTCGAAGAACGTCTACACTCTCGGCATATACGTTGCCCAGGAAACAGCTCAGGGGCATCATGGGAGCCCTGGGGCAGGCATAGGATGAGTGGAGGTTTTGCTCCCCCCTTCCAGGGAGCCCAGGGCCTGAGCCTGGAGCTCAGCTCCCGCCCCCTCCCACATACTTGGTGTCCTGGAGGCTGTTTCCACTGTAGATGTACATTCGTTTCACAGTTGCTCCGTGGGGTATCTGGAGAGAAGCTAGACCATGGGCAAAATTGGGCTGCAAACACAGGTCCAAAGATTTACTAAGGATAAAAGATTCACTGCAGGCCATGTGGTTCAATCTCTGGCATTTCCCCAGCCCTCCTTCTAGTCTTTAAGAACTGGCCGAAGCTCCCAGTCAGACCTGGATCTGGATCAATAAACTCTCCCACCATCCACGCAAATTCATCTTTAATTTTATTTTGTTTTTCTTTCCTTGTTAGGTGAGAAAATGTAGATGCTTTCTTTAATAAAATATAAGCCTTACATAAAGCTATTATTTATTACCCTAAGGATGTTATTGCCTAAAGATGAATAAAACATTTTGCTAAAAGCAAAGATGATATACTCTTAAATTCTGGACCATGGAGAAAAATCACAATGATTAGGAGATTTAAAGCAAGGTACAACTGGCCTGGTCACTAAAATGACTTGGCTTCCTTCTGCAATGGGAAGTCTTTTTGTCTTAGAAATGCCAGTTTGGACTTTGATTTTACCGAACCCCACTGACGCTACTCCCCTTGGCCCTGAAGCTCGCAGAGAGGAGGAAGCCAGAGAATGGTTCCCATCCAGCCTCCCCCCGTGGCACTGTCTTATGGTCCATAGCACTGGGGCATTGGTGGAGGGAAAGCAAAGGACTAACCTCATACTTAGGAGCCTCAGCCCATGAGTCTAACTGGAAAGAGAAAGACAGTCCTCTGAAGTTGAGGTGGAAGAGCTGCTCAGCAGAGTTGTACACTGTGGAAGAGGGGGAAGAGAGCTGAGTGACACCAGGGGTGCGAACACACGTCAGCCTGCGGAGAAGTATGACAGCAACACTTCCCGTGTCTCGTTTCTAAACTGACCTACTAAGGAGGAGGAACTTCTCTTTACAACCAAGTACCAACACCCAAGGCCTACAGGAAACTAGTTTTAGGGGGCTGGAGCTAGAATGACACAGTGTTACCACTACGGGCTGCCCCTGCGGACCCAAGGGTGTGGATGAGCCTGGCTTACCTCCAGGATGGGTTGCACCGAAAGACTGGTCGATCTGCTCAATGGTGGGAGCTATGGCCTGAGAGTTAAAATGCACTCCACTGAAAAACAAAGTTATTTTTAAATTCTAGGCTCCACAGACTATGGGAGATGTGGCTGGAAGAGTTATTCCTAAACAGGCAGGTAAGCTTACTTCAAGAAGTTTTTAAGTAAGAGAAATTATGGAAGTGGTAACAAGTCAATTCTGAGGCTGCTACCCAGAATTTATTTTCTAGGGCATCCTACGACATTGTAGACACCAGGCAAAATTCAGAAAGAAACAAATTTTTAGACTTGGAGTGGCCATCAGAACAGACAGTGTTAATGTGTTTCCCCAATATAGCTACTTGCAGTTTGGCTTAAAAAGGATGAGCCAAAAAAAGGGTGATTTTAAAAAGGTGTACCCTAGTGAGGTAGCTCGCTTCCTTAATAGGCAGGCCAACTATTGATGTGAATGGTAGGTGGGTAGAAGGCTGGGTCCCAAGCAAATGGCAAAAAACTCAAGGAGTGGGCCTAAGAGTTAAAATGCACTACACTCAAACTCAAGGAGATAAGGCACTCATGACTTTAAAGAAAATGCTTAAAGATCAAAAACATACATATTTTTAATTAGTAGTATCACTGATTGTATCCTTCTTAACCCAGCAGGTACATTATTTCATTCCTCTGTTGAGAAAACGAACTCAATGCGGTTAAGGACTTGCCCAAAGGCACAGAAGTACAGTACACATTTGCTTGTCCAACCCTTGATCAGCAAGCGTTGCTGGGTCTACTCTAGAACTGGGCCCTTTCACATTCTCCCCAAGGGAAAGGGAAGCCTGTTAAAGAAACTTACCAAATGGAGTTCTCTAAGGACAAGTTTATTAGGAAAAGGAGAAGGAAAAAAGACACCTGTGCAGATACAGATGGGCAGTCTGGGAGGAGAGCTGCCCAATGGACTATTCTAGATGCTAACAGCACTTGCCACACAGGCACTCAGATATTTATGTACCATACTGGTCATTCCATTTTCACTTTAAAAAGCAGGTTTTGGCTGGCAAATAGTGATCTCTCTTTGGCATTCTCCTTAACACTTGCTTGGTGATTGATCTGGCTTGTTCTACCTCTGCTGTTCATGAAAACAGAGGCACGAAGAAGGCTGCGCATGGTTGGGCAGCTGTGACCCGGGGACAGTCAGATTCCCTGTAAGCAGAGGCCCTGCCTTGTCAGAGGGTTAATTAAGTCAATATACACAAAGTCAGTATGTTCCTAGTGAGGTTTCCTTCCTTCCTTCTCAGAAATTGAGCAGAGGCCAGAGGTTGCATCAGAAAATCATGACCCTAGGCTGTAATCCTGGAATTACTACGGCCAGGAGCCTTTATTAACTCAAAAAGGGTGGAAATAAAGTCCGTTTATACCAAGTCTGTGATATATATACCAACAGGGGAGAAAACTTACCAGTATTTTAACTTCACTTTAGTCAAGTCATATACTTCAATCACCTAAAAATAAAAATTAAACATTGAAGAGCTGCTGACATGCTTTAGTTGAAGAAAAAATTAACAAGACATTTATATAAAAAGGTGGGAAAATCTAGTCAAAATACCTCTGAATGGGCCTCCCTGGTGGTGCAAGGGGTTAAGTCTCAGCACTATCAAGCTAGCACCAGTCACTGCAGCATGAGTTCCATCCACGGCCAGGGAGCTGACCCCCATGGCACAGCAGACCTCTCCTGTCTCACCCGCTGCTCCCCTCAGCACTGTGCTCCACTAGAGCCACCCATTCTGCTCCCCACTGACTCTGGTGAATCCCTTCACCCCATCATACCCTCTGGCTTATACCCCAGTTCTTGTATGCACAAATAAATAAAAATAAATCTTAAAAAAAAAAATCCCTGAAGCACTGCACATTACATTTCCCCCTCAATGTTAAATTTGGAGGAAAACACATACTGTACACAACAAAGCCTCCCCTTCGCCAGTGGGCTGCTCAATACTCTGGACAGATGCTCTGGATCAGGTTATTTCTAATCTACAGCTGGCTGTACAGAAGACTGAACATACCATCCCTACAAAATCCCAAACAAACCTGCATCAAACACTCAAACTACCAGTGCTACCAAACCCTCAGTGGCGTCAAGGGCTTGGCAGCGAGCAGTGCTGCTGGCTCGTTGCAGCGGCACACACAGGATTGGCACAATGTCTCTTTGTCCTGACCATCTGGGCCTGAGCCTGAAAGGGGCCGTGGGGCACTGGGTGCAGGGGCATCACAGCACTGCCATAAACACTGAGACATAATTCACTCCTGGCCAGCACCGTTCCTAACTGCTCAGAGACCTTAACACTGAATAAGCTGGAAATTTCTTGTCTTTATCACAACTATGCTGCCTGTTGCAAAGAATCATTCGCTCTGCTGGGCCACCACAGCACTTCAATCAGCCCTTTCCCATACTGTTGGTGTGTGAAGTGTGTTAGGAACCCACTAAGAAAAGCCCCTTGGAGTATAGCTGATTCGTTTGCTCAGGGAATGTTCGCAACACATATCAGATGGGTCAGCCTGGCAACAAACTAGCTGCAGGGCAAATGTGAAACAAACTTGGAAGTATAAAAGAGGTGTCAAGAGAGGCCATACAGGAAGGAAAGGGGATTGCTACCATTCATAAAACATCTAATGTCTCCTTTAGAAAGCCTGGGCAAGGCAGCATACAATGCCAAACCAGCATGGTAGGGCTTTTTTTTTTAAAGATTTATTTATTTATGCATTACAGAATTGGGGTACAGGCCAGGGGTGCAAGGGTGAGGCAGAGTGGGGAGCAGATTAGGCAGATGTACTAAAATACACTGCTGAGGGGAGCAGTGGGCAGGACAGGAAAGATCTGCTGTGCCATGTGGGTCACCGCCCTGGCCAAGGATCCAACGCATGCTGCAGTGGCTGCTGAAAGCTTCACAGTGCTGAGACTTAACCCCTGTACCACCAGGGAGGGCCCCTCACTGGCAGAGGGCCTCACACCACAGCCAGAAAGAAGCCCTGCTTGTATAACAAAGAGAGGCTCTGCCCCATGACTGCTAATCCTTGGGCTGGCTGTTGACCAACCCCCAAGGACTTAGCACTCAACTTGTGGGGTTGGGTCTCCAAGGTGTTCTTCCTGTCAGTAAGGTCAGGCAACCTTACATACCAGAAGATGGTCAGCTATCCACCTGTCCACAGCCCAGACCAACACTTACAGGTACCTCAACCCCACCTGCCCAATGGGACAACAGTGGAAAGTGGAAAGAGTTAATCACAGCGTATAGAGTGGCAGTTGTGGAAAGTGAGCTAGCATCTACGTTGGGAGTCCTCGAGTCACCAAGAGAGCAGGTTCTAGCCCATGGAGTCTACTGGGCCATGGGGACAAACAGGGAAATCTATAAAGGCTAAGACTTCCCATTTTCTGGGCTGGAAAAGGCCTTGATTTCCTTAGAAGAGGAGACAGAGCAGCAGCTAAGCTAGGAAAAGGCAGGTGTTGGTAACACTGTGACCTGTGAAATATTTTTTTTAAGATTTATTTATTTATGCATCTATTTTATTTATTTACGCTGGGGTGCAGGCCAGAGAGGTGTGTGTGTGTATGTGGGAGGGAGGTTAAGAAGATTCACCAGATGGTGTGAGGAAAGGTAGATTTACTGAACTACACTGCTGAGGGGAGCAGCGGGCGGGCCAGGAGAGGTCTGCCGGCCATGTGGGTCAGCTCCCTGGCCGGGGATCAAGCTAGTGCTGCAGTGGTTGCCAGTAGCACCATAGCGCTGAGACAACCCTTTACGCCACCACAGGGGGCCCTGAAGCCTTATTCCAAAGTGGGGAGAAATTTCAGGAGACAGCATCAGGGAGAAGAGCATTCTGAAGCTCTTCAACTGAGGGGCAGGTAGATGTGTTAAGACAGAGCTGGTGCCAAGCAAGGTAAACTGAAGAATTGCTCCCCAACAGTTTCCAGAAGATCAGGAAAGGGCTTGACTTCTCTCTTCTTTTCTTTAACATTTTAAAAGGGCAGGTTTATTAGGAAAAAAAGACAAAGAAAGGCTCCAGCATAGGCAGGCAGGAAAGCTGTCTCCTCTCTTAAGGAGTACACAAATGCCAGAAGCAAAGGTTCTGTTTTACCCCCTTCCATTGAAACTGTACTTCCCATTTTTCACATTTCCACAGCGTGGGCTCACAATGTGTGCTCACACAGAAGTGTGTGTTTGCACTTTTTCCGTATCAAGTGACAGAGACTAAGTCATTTCCGTCCCCAGTGGCCATTCACCCGACTGATAATACAGGAATAAGTTTAGTGACAAGCAGACTGCTTATCCTCTGTCCTTCCATGGTCTCACTGGCAAAAGCGGTATTCCTAGATTTGTTAGTATTAAATAAAAAAACGGGATTCAATCATGGGGTTAACATGTCACCTTACCAAGTGTTCACTAAATATACATTGTAGATTCTATGGGGTGCCTACCCATTTCCTTTTGTTCTTCATTTAGTTTACTTTTAACTTTCCATTACTATGAAAAATACTTCTGTAATACTATAAGCAATTTTCAACACAACCCTCTCCTTAATTTTTTTGGGTTGTGTTTCTTGTTTGTTTTTTTTTTAAAGAGTTATTTATTTATGCATACATAACTGGGATACAGGCTAGAGGTGCAAAGGCAGAGGATTCACCAGAGACAGAGTGGGGAGCAGAACAGCGATGAAGTACACTGGTGAGGGGAGCAGTCGGCGAGACAGGAGAGGTCTTCTGAACCGTGTGGGGCACCTCCCTGGCTAGGGATTGAACTCATGCCACAGTGGCGATAGCTTGGCAGTGCTGAGACTGTAACCCCTGAGCCACCAGGGAGGCCCTGGGTTATGTTTCTTAAAGTGGATTTGCCAAGCCAAAGGCAAGTAACTCTTTGTAAAACTATTTCCAGATTACTTCTCCCCCATTTTGTGATGAAGCCACACTGACCATAGGATGACTGAGTCCATAAGGTGAGGCAAGTCAGAGGGCAGAATGTTCACACTGAGGCCCTCCCTGGTGGCACAGTGGGTCAAAGTGCAGCAGTGCAAGCTAGCCACAGCTGCCTCAGTGTGAGTTTGATCCCCAGCCCCAGAAATGGTGATCCACAAGGCACAGCAGACCTCTTCTGTCTTGCCCACTGCTCCCCTCACCAGTATACTTCACAATCTACCTGTTCTGCTCCCCACTCTGTCTCTAGTGAATCCTCTCACCACATATGCACCTCTGGCCTGTACCTCAGTTCTGTATGCATAAATAAATAAATTTTTAATGAAAAAAAGAGAATGTTCATATTCACCTTTTTTTTTTTTTAAAGTCATGTCTTTACTAAAGGCTGCAGAATATTCTGACATAAAGCCTTCCATGTACTATGGCTGAAAACAGTGAGCACTGTGGAGCTGGGAATCAGTGGGTGCTATGCAGATCTGGGTGAGGCAGGATGAAGAGACAGGAGGGGCCCAAACCCTGCCTTATTAGCTGCCAATCAAACCCTGCTTAAAAAACAAAAACAAAAAAAACCCCCACAAATAAGGAATTCTCATCCCATGTGCATATCCTTTGCTCATGCTCTGTCCTGACTCCTCAGTAGCTCATTCGAGAACTAGAAGGTATGTGTTTTGGAATGGCAACCTCAGAACCTAGCCGTGCCACATTTAGCCTTGTGACTCTGAGCAATGAGGCTGGTGTCACATGACTAACCTGTGAAGCCCAGGCATTTGTAAATAGTATATTAAAAACATCCTGGACTTAAACAGGTGCCAATTAAGACAACCATCCACACCAGCAAGTTATTTACTTAAATTTCCTAAAAGGGGTTAAAGAAGCGACTCACTGCTAGCAGTGTTAAGGCCAACCCCCAGCATTTCAGAAGAACAGCTCCTTTTTTCACCTTCCAAGTCATTGTTTGGCCTAAGAATCAAGTAAAACGACAAGATACATAAACCTGGTCCCACTTTTAGTACCTTTTAACGGCTCAGGATAATTTATGCTAAATATTTAGTTTCTGTCTTGTTTTTGTTGTTGGAATGAAAGCCCCTTTCTCATGGTTGTTCCTGGTACTAAAGTCTGTGCCAGCCTTTTTCCAACCATCCACTCCACTCCCCCCAAATTCCCTCTTTTCAGAGGAATAAACGTAGCACATAGCTTCAGTCTCCCACATCATCGTGGTATCCGAATCACAGAAAACTATTCCAACTTAGAGGAGTTTCAGAAACATCGCACAGCACATATAAATCAGACTGGCATGAAGTTTAGTTGTCATTTATATTTACCTTTAGTCTCTGATTGAAAGCATCAAACAGTAGTTTGATCCCGTCCTGAGTCAGGTTAAGGATGAGGTCATGGCTTAGAGGAGACTACAAACAAAAATGAAACACATTCTGAACAACTAATTTACTAGCCATTAACTATAGAGAGCCTTAAAACACAAGCACAGCGCACATGGATATTTAGGCGCGGGCAGCTCTTCCTTCCATCCCCACAGCTAAGCTTGGAAGCCAGAAAGAAAATGCTGCAAGCAGGTGCAGTGTCCTTTACTTCCAGCCCACAGTAGCTGCCTCACAGTATTGGCTGATGGGCCTCTCTCTTCCGCGCTTTAAAACTGGGGGAAAAGGCCAAAGCTATTTGAGATATATAAGCCAAGTCCTTTTGAGGGTCCAGGGCCCACATCTGCGGCAAGGCTTACTGATGTCAAATCTACACTAGGAACCAAACTCAACAGGTAATCGTGAACCCCTGTCAAGCAACACATTTTATTCTTTGTTTTGGGTCATATTCCAGGCCACAGGAGTAGCTTGTGATGACACTTTTACTCCTTCCTTTACTCCCCCCACCATCCCATATCACACATGCTTCTTTTTTGAAAAGCCAAAGTTTTATTTCTACATCTGTTCCCAACCCCAGTCACAGTGGGACACAGAACACAGGGCCCTGAGTAGCACTGATGGACCTTCAATGACTCTCAAAGTATCTCTGAGTGCTAGTTTCTTGAAGAGAACACCACCATCACTTCCCTCCAGGGTTGCTATGAGGACAGAGAGCCTAGGTCAGAAAGCACCACATACAGCACTAGAGTATACAGCACTCTTTCCTCCTGTCTGCTCCAATGTATGATTCAAGAAACCAACCTCTGAAGATTCCACAGCCTGGAACCAGGTTGTTCAAAAGCAGAAGCTAAATACCACTATCTAAAAACCTTGTCCCTTCTTAAAACTGGCACAGCTCTCAAAAGGGTTTAGAGAAGTCCCTTTAGAGAATTTCTCAAGACGAGCACAGTGAATGACAGTTGTGTGGCAGTCAGGGGTAGAGAGAGGGGCTGCTAAGTGAGCTCAATGGGGAAATGTTCCCCAAAAAGCTTAATGGAATTAGCTCATATTGTTTGTCTATTCACCCCAATGATCTTTACAAAGTACCAAGCAGGTAGCACTATCATGTTGTAATTTTCCAGTTGGTCTGTGTAGATGTCTAGAAACCATTAGGATTCAAGGAAGAGAACAGAATAATGAAATCAACACATGACACACAGTTCTATTTCTAAGAGCCATCTCATGGCAGTAAGCAAGATGAGGCAACATTTTATCATCTTTCAAGATCCTTGCTTGGGGGAGGAATGCTGGAAGCCTCTGGATTTTCTTACACTCTCCCAAGATCTAATCATTTTTTTCCCCTGGCATCGTTACAATTCAGGACACAACTAAGCAATTTCAGAAGCAAGCAAATATTCCTCATGGTCGATATCTTATTAGTACTTTAGATCTCTAGAACTAAAATATATATAGCATGTGATATTTAAGCCCAACACTATGAAGTTCTCCATATGAAACAATTCAATAAAGCTGTCTGCTACTAATTGTTAATATTTTCCCCTCTAAGATGGGACCTACTTGATATGCACATCTAATTTCCAAGGTGTGATTTGCTACAGACAAAAAATATTTCTGAAGCATTTAATGGGACCAAACCATTTTCTGTAATTGATGGAAAACATGGAGACAAAAAGAACTGGAAGAAAGACAGTCGTGAACAGCACCCACATTTGAGAGGTACCACATCAGAGCTCTGAAACCATCTTCTCTTGATCCTCGTCAAAAGATTATTCTAAAGGAACTATATCCATATTAAAGACAAAGAACCAGACAGGTTTTGAACTTGCAGTTAAGAAATGGGAAGAGCAGGAATCTGAACCAAGGCCTAGACTCAAAAACTATGTTTTCTAACTGATTCCAGTTCTCAGAAGATATGAGGGGAAAAGAGCTTAATACTAAATAAAATGTCTGTTTTTACCCAAATAACAGAACAACAGACAACAAAGATAGCAATATATATAAAAACAAAAAATGAAAAAAACTCGATTTAAAAAAATTGGTTGAGAGTTCAAAGTCTGCCTAACCTGGGGTGCATGAATTTGATTTAACTGAATGCTGAATATGTAGGTAGGCACGTACCTACACACTCAAGACGCAAGCCCGTTTTCCCCGTTTCAACATTATCATCCTTCGCTGGCATTCAGGAACCCCTGCTTACTACTCTGAATACTCCTTCTGTGGGAGGCACTACAAGAAATCCAAGCCCTTACTTGGAGATTAAGCATTTTTTGGCTCAGAGGACCCTTCACACTGGCCCTCAGTAGGCCCCTAGGGGGACACAGTACTGCAAATTGTAACCTCTGGCTTAACTCTGACTCTGTCCTACCTCTAATCTACAACATTCTTCATGTCAAGTATAAACTGTTACTTGCTTTAGAACAAAGAAGAAATAGAACTAAGAACCTCCAGCAGGCACTTACAGGTTCTGAGCAAGCTCCCGCAGACACCCGTGGCCAGAGCAGGCTCTACACTATTCCCTGAGGCTGCGACACACAGGGTCCACAAAGTCCGCTCCATATGGCATGACACGGTGTGTGTCACAGAGGAACCACAGGTTTCAAGTGGAAGAGAGATGGCATTTTAGAAAAGACTCCTCTTCCTAAACGTCTATAAAATAATCTCTAATTTAATAAAACAAATATGAAAAAGCTATGAGATTAAAAAAGTCCTTTCCTGGAGTTAACCTAAAACATACTCTTTTTGGAAATGAAAAAGATCTTTCCAAGGACATGGTGTATTTACACAATAGGGGTTAATTCCTGGAATAACTGACTTGTATTTAATAGAGAGCGCCATAAATCAAACAAACAAAAAGGGAAAGTAAGTCCACTAATAGGGAAGAAATATTTTGCAATTTCCAAGTATCAGATCAATCTCACTAAAGGGCCAAGTTATACCTGCTGCTTTTCAAGTCTGGCATGCTCTGTTAGCCAGAAGTTAGCTAGCTGAATACAAACCAAAACAGTCAACAAACCAGGAAAGACTATTTTAGATGCAAAGTGGAAGGCAAGCATGTGAAGACCACAGAGTACGCCTGAGATGACTACCCACTGCAAAGCCCCTGGTTTAAAGTCAGCAAATAAATCAAACAGAAACGAAAAAACAAGTTCAGTTATTATTGTTCTTTCAAACACTAAATTTGAGACCAATTTCAGGCTTTAAAAAAAATAAAAAAGTAGTCACCTAGTACTGGGGTGCCTTCCATTTGTACATATCGACCTAGTAATCTCTGCCAGTCAGCTTTTGCTATAATATCAATCTCTGTGAGGTGACTCACTGAAGAGGGATGCTATTTTAGTAAACAAATCAGCTACCACCACTTACCTGTTCACTGTAGAGAACCTGGACATTTTTGACAATGCGACAGTGTTTCTGAAGAATGGCTACTGCCTGAGCCAGTGGCATACCTGAAATAAAGCAGGACACCTCTGTGGTTACTTGGGTGAGGCATCATTAGCTCTTAGAGTAAAGTCCTGGATAGGAGCAGGGGCCTCTAAGGCTGTTTACAGACATCTGAGTAAGTACAAGTTGAGTAAGCAGGAAGAGCTAGAATCAGTGAGCAGCAAGCACTAAGGGAGCAGCTGGATGAGGTCAGGGGAAGGAGTGAATACGCCAAAGGCCTCCAGGAGGTGGGCACTTCTGTCTGGACCCCAAAGCAGGCAGAGGGCTTGGAGAACAGAGTCTGCACAGACCAATGACAGAGTGAGGAAAGCACAGGTGACTGGATCTCTGGTTCTCACTTTGCCATGGACTACATGTGACCTGGGGCAGGTTCCCCCTCTCTCCTCTGGCATGTCTCCTCATCTCTTACTTGAGTATGCAGGAGCACATGACTTTTTTTTTTTTAATTTATTTATGCTTACAGAACTGCTGGGGTACAGGCCAGAGGTATGGTGGGTGAGAGGATTCATCAGAGACAGACTGGGGAGCAGAACAGGCAGATCTACTGAAGAACACTGCTGAGGGGAGCAGCAGGCGGGTCAGGAGAGGTCTGCTGTGCCATATGGGTCAGCTCCCTGGAGGGGGATCATACTCGTGCTGCAGTGGCTTTAGAGAGCTTCATAATGCAGTGCTTTTAACCAGTTGTACCACCAAGAAAAGCCCCCACATGACTTTTAAAAAGTTAAAAATCATAAGTGTACCTCCTAGGGATTTTGCTGGATCAACCCAGAAAATATCCTCGAACCCTTAATAGCTGGTTTTTGACTCATAGATTGGTATGTGTCCCCATTTTAAAGAATCCAAATCCTAAGGACATCTCAAAAAGACTTCAGGGACACACAAGGAATACCAACAAGTATGCAATCAGAGTCTGTTAAATTTCAAGCAAGAAGAAACATACAGAGACAATGCAAATAAAGACACACAGCTCCTTGAGCACAGGCATAGTGTATCTGTGCTACTGACGAGTCCCTAGAGCCCCGAAGTGAGCACAGGGCTGACCACATCGTGACTGCTGAGTAAATGTGTTCAGTTGGATGATGGGGCCGGTGATGACAACAGAGGAGGAAGAGGCCCTGGACCATCATAAGATCTCAGAGCAGCAAGTGGCTTACATTCAAGATCAGTTTACTTCCAATTCAAAGAGGTGATTTGCAGAAGAGAACTTAAACATGGATTAAAAGGTTAAATACTACTGGCCCATCTACACTTAAACAGCAGTACAATTTCTGCCTTCATTGGATTGTCCAGTCTATGATTTGAAGAAAGTTGAAGGGAGCCAGTACCCCAGTCAGCCTTGACAGTACTGAGTCTCATATAGTTGAGGCTTAATATATACTTTTTGAAAATATGAATAAAGCATCACCAGCTTTGTCTTTCCTGAAATGGTGGAGTATCTATGTTGTCTCTCCTAGAGAAAATGGGCAAACACCCACAACGAGAAAACAGATAAGCTCAGTTAGGTGCCAAGAAAGAGAAGGCCACGGGGTTTCTCTGACCTACATGGCACAAGTCAGTTTCTAAAGGGAGGGTTATTTTTCTACCTAACCACATCAAATTCCTAGTCTTGGAAACTTGGGATCCTGAGTCATGCAGGCAGAAGCCCACCTGCAGGAGATAAAGCAGTCCTCACAGGTGCTGATAAAGGAAGGCTATACAGGGCCTCTAAACAGCACAAAGCAAATGTATGATAAATAGGAGCACTGTCCCAGTTCCAACTGTTCCCAGTTACCTAACTCCAAAGAATGTGGAATGTACGGCCAGCCTTCCAAACTGGACAGATCTCACCATATGTCTATTTTATAATCCTCCAATGGCTTCCTATTACAAGGAATAAAGCCCAAATAATGTGCTATCTCACCTACAGGACCTGAATATTCTGGGCCTTATTTACCTTTGACCTTTTCCCCTCTATTTATTGTGTTTCCTCTTGTTACTAGCTCACATCAAATTCTCTGCTACTCTAGGTCTTTGCTCTTGAAACTACCGGAATATTCTTCAAGTAGATAGTTCTTTTTTATTCTTTTTTTTACCAGCTCTACAGGCTGATAAAAAGTTGACAGATGAAAGTGACCTTTTCAGGGTCTCCCTGGAGGTACAAGGGGTTAAGTCTCAGCATATGAAGCTATCCGCAGCCACTGCAGCAAGAGTTCGATCCTCAGCCAGGGAGCTGACCACATGGCCCAGCAGACCTCTCCTGTCTTACCCACTGCTCCCCTGGGCGGTGTAGTTCAGTAGATCTACCTGTTCTGTTCCCACTCTGTCTCTTGTGAATCCTCTCCCCTCCCCTACCTCTGGCTTACACCCCAGCTCTTGTACATATCCAGAAATAAATCTTTAAATTAAAACAAAGTAACCTTTTCAATCTGGGTCTTACTTAACACCGCCAATATCTACCCATTCATTCAAGCCAGAAATCTAGATTCTTTCTCATCCTGCACCTTTCCAAAACCAGTCTCTCCAAACATTCTTCCTACATCATGCCCAGAACACACCTTACAAATCAATATCATCTTTGTCATTGAACCTCAACAGTCCTTAACAATGTCCTACGAGCCTACTACCAAAGAGAACTGGGGCTCTGGGGAACTACTTTTTTTTTTCTTTCCCTAGTATATTATTCTTTACTTAAAATACTAATTTGCTTACAGTTCCCTATATACACACCACCTGTTCTGCACCCCCACTTTTAACTTAGCTAGAAGACTTAAGTCTATGAAGACTGTAAAGTTAAGAAACTAGGAGGTAGACTTCTGATAGAGTATTCCTGATGCTTGCTGGCTCCAGAGATTGAAGTATCAGCTCCTGCAGGTTGACAAGAAGTCTTCCCTAAACACCCGGGTCAGATCAAGTCCCATTCCCCCTTCTACAGCATCTTACATAACCTCTACACCTCATAATAAAATCTAATCCTTCCCTCTCTCTTCATGACATGAGATCATGTGTTATGCAATTTTTCAATATTTGTAAGCAGAGTCTGCAGAAGTACATGCTGTCTTAAGCAGAGCCATCAGTATCTCTTAAATAAACTCAGAGAAAGCTATCTCCTTTAAATCTACCTACTGTGGCGTTTTCAAAATTAACTTAAAAATGTCAGAGACAAGCCCCCACATCAACACATTTTGCAAGTCTCATTGAAACACTTCAAATCGGCACTGTCTGCTCCGCCACTGGTCAAGTCATTGGTAGTGTTCTCAGGGATTCCTCTTGGCCTAGGTTTGTCTGGCTCTATGTTGTTGGCATTTCCTTAAACTCCCAGGGTTACACAAAGGATGGGAAGGTAGCCAAGAAGTTGGATGCAGCTTACCATTGTGATGCCAAGCAGATGATGGCCAAGTCTAAATACATCTGTATTTGCACAGATTCCAAAAAGAAACCTGGACACAATGTTAAGACATCTTCAGAAGGGCAGAGTAGTGGAAGCAGAAAATCCCTCAGCTGTTTCTGAGTATGTTCCTCATCCGGCAAATGAAAATTACCTTACCGAGCTATGAACTTGAATTAAGCACTGGCTCTCTAGCCTGGGACTGTAATTCTACAGAAGAGATTCACTTCTGTAGACCTCGCCCTACTCATAGGATTCAACTGCAGTTTAAATGTGTTGGGAACTGGAGAAGATTGACAGGGGGAAAAAAATAACTTATTTTTTCAAGCCTTGAGAAATTAAATGACCACCATTTCTTAGACGCTATTTTAAAATGCAGACTTTTAAGACTGACAAAGGAATAACCAAATCTCAGGTTCCCCCCGGAAGACTCCCTTGAAGTTTAATTTCATTCCCAATGTACAGAAATGCCTTTTTCCCCCTTAAGGTTTTGGTTGCTAGTTAGACAGTTTGAAAAAAGTACTCAAACCTGTGATTCCTGGAAACTGGCAAAGTTAGGAGTAGGACTTGAAGTATCAAAGCAACAGGTGACAGGGTCTCCCTGATGGTGCAAGGGGTTAAGTCTCAGTACTATGAAGCTCTCTGCAGCCACTACAGTATGAGTTCAATCCTGGCCAGGGTGGTGACCCACATGGAGCAGCAGACCTCTCTTGCCTCACCGGCTGCTCACCTCTGCAGTGTATTTCAGTAGATCTGCCTGTTCTGCTCCCTACTCTGTCTCTGATGAATCTTCTCACCCCCCACACCTCTGGCCTACACCCCACTTCTTGTATGCATAAATAAATAAAACTTTTTAAAAACACACACACAAAACAAAACCAGAGTTGTCAGAAACCTTGCTCTCCCTCCCTGGGTTTGTTTTGTTTTGTTTTGTTTTTTGGTTAAATCCTGGCCTCAACTGACACTAATCACTACTCTTGGTCAAGAGACTACCTCAGAAAATCCACAACTTGGTTGCATCATCAAGCACAGTTTGAAGCTATGGTTGTGGTTCTCTGCCCTGTGAAGTCTTGATTGAGAACAAAAGGTCTCACGGGTAGGGGAGGCTGTATCCTAACTAGAGGCCCAATAGCATCAGCATGATGAATGTGTCTGGAAGCAAAGATATCACCAGCCTCCCAACCAAGTTCTTGGTCCAAGTTATGAGAAAAGTTGGCTAAGACCCGTCTCAATAAAAGTGGCTGCTACAACTCAGAAATCTTGTAGTTGGCTCAGTTTATGGAGACACCCAGCACTAGCAGAGCCCTACCAACAATCTGTTCTGTCCTTTTCTCACCTACCCTGTCTTCATAGACAGTCTTCCAGAGTCAAGGGTAAGCCATAGCCCAGTGGAGCAGCTGACTCAGTCCAGCCGCCCAAATTAGCGTGATAAAAGTTCAGGACTGTACAAACAAACAGCATCAACACCTGCTCCCCACCCCCTTCCCCTAGTGCTAGAACATCAAAGTAAACACACACTGGGGTTACTGAATGTTACTTGTGCACATAAAGGTAGTGACATTGGGGAGGAGGGAAACTGGTCAACAAGCCCGAAACAACCAAACTGCATTTTCTATAAGCTGAATGTTAATTTCCCTGAACTCCCATACCTCATGCTACCTCTAAGGCCCATAACTGAGGTCTGCGTTTAAGATTACACCACAAAGCCACAACAGTCAAACGGGGAGGAAACAAGTCACAAGTTCCTTTAACACACAAGCTCTCCTCACTGCCTAGACGAGGTGCCGACATCCGATTCTGAGAAGAGACAGTACTGCGATGATTAAGGGTGTCAGTCACCTCTTAGCTATTTGGTTCGCACACTGGAAATAATAACAAGAGATCTGACCCTCAGACGCCAAGGCGGGTGCACTGGAGAACACTACGCACAACTGAGGAGGAACAGGCCTCAGAGAAGTGTTTGGGGTGTGTCAGCCATTGTTATTATTACGACTATAGTACCAGTGCCCGGAAGGGGCCCTACTGAAGCCCGAGGCGAGGGCGTGAAGACCCGGCAGAGCGACCGACAGGCGGGTCGGGCCGGTCGGAGCGGGTATCTGGTGCCTGGAGCCCAAATCCGGGAGCCACGGGCGCAGGGGCGTCAGGGCGCAGAGATCAGACGCGGGAAGGGCCTGGAGGGAAGCAAGGTCCAGAGAGATCAGGACCCCATACTCACCCAGCGTGAATTCCCATTGCTCGTTCCCCAGAGAGCGCTCGGGCACCACCTCCAGATCCAGCATTGGTTCGGCTCGCCGGGCCGAGGCGGCCTCCCTGCGGCAGCGCAGACGCGACCCGAGCTGAGGAGACAAAGCAGCGACTGATCTACGCGCCCGCCGGCCCGCGGCGGCCCTGCTCTCACCTCCTCCCGAGTCACCGGCGGCAGCGGCCCAGCACCACACCTCAACTCACCTCACCTCACCGGCGGCAGCGGCGGCGACAGGGGCAGCGGCGGCAGCAAAAGCGTCTGCAGCAAAACTGGCGTGCCCGGCCGTAAAGCGTGGCGGGGGCGGGGCGAGGGCGGGTTTCCATCGCGGAGGGCGGAGCCGAGCGGACCGCGCACGCGCACTCTCCGCACCCGCGGCGGAGACCCGGCGGCGAGGCTGAAGCAAGCTGCGCTGCGGTCGAGGAGGGCGGGCGCTGTAGGCGCGAGCAGGTCGGTGTTCCGTGAAGCCCGACGGCTGCACACCACACTGCACGTGTTTCCCACGCCTACACAAGGGTGTGTACACCACACAGCACACATTTCTGACACGGCTACACAGCCCTAGTCTGCTGTCTACACCGAAGTCCCACTCATTCACCGGGACAAAAGGCGAATTTGGGGGGGCCCCCCCGCAACAGCAAGTAGGGAGAACTGGAGTCTCCAAGCCCTGTCCCCCACCCCCACCCCCGGACCTCGGCTGGGGCCGCGACTGACTTCGCGCAAGCTGCAACTAGAGTTTCCTGAAATGACTCGTTTCCTACCCACTGGCCTTTGGAGTCTGAGTTGAAATGAATGAGCGATGTGCTCGAGTTGACTGTTGGGGCACAGAGTGGGGAGAAGTGGGAGAGGACTGGGTGGAAGGAGGGCGTAGGCCTGGCCTGTTAGAAACGTCGGGATGTGCGCAGTCCCTCACCCCTATTCCCTCGCTGACAGCAGCTCACAGTCCAACAGCTTCGTGGTCAGAGCTTTTAGGTCTTGACCAAACCTCTGGTGGGTTTTGTGCCTCAGTTTCCTCACCTAGAAGTTGTGGGGCGGGCTCCTTTAGCTTGTTGGGCTTCTTTGAGCCTCTGCTCTGAGACACTAAAATGAAAAGACAGGCTTCCTCTGAAGCCCAGCCTTCGCGGAAGCGGCCTGGGAGACTCACGGCCACCCTGAGATGGGAGAGTAGGCCTCACTTTACCGGAGGAAAAAAGGAGTCCCAGGGAGGTTAAAGGCCAGGTGGCAGGACCCAGGGGCTTGCTATTACCTTGTTTAGCAAGAGAACAACATTCCGTGTTCTCACACTGGCTTGGTAGTTTAACTTGTAATTTGGAAGGCTTAAAATTCCGGCACAGCTCTGGGCATTAAAACAAAATGGAGAAGCATGATATTGCCCCAAAATGGGGCTGAGCCACTGAGCCTTCCATTTGTAGGGAAGTAGTTAACTAAACTGATGTGTGTAATAGGATATACTCTTAACTTTTTTTTTTTTTTTTTTGCTTACAACAGCAATCATTTAATATCTCATCGTCTGTGGGCTGATTGGTTCAGCTGAGTAGTTCTTGTTTTTCTCACTTCGATTCTTTATGTGGTTGTGGACAGATGGTTACTGGGACTGGAGTGATCTGGGGCTCTGGTGTAATGTTGGCTTCTTTCCTTTTCATCAGTCACAGAGACTCTCCTCCTGTGACTTGTTCCTTTGGTCCTCGCTAATTGAGCTTTCCAGGAGGGTAATTGGATTTCCTCACAGTGGCTCAGGAACTTGGTATTTTTGCTATTGCTCTTCGGAGTTGATGAGAGACTTGCACTTCCTCACTGTCTTGAAGTACATTATGATCTCAGTTCACAGCAATCTCCTTGGGAAAGTCCTGGAACTCTAGAGCTAGGACAGAGTGTAAGAATCTTCCTATGACCAATTATTATTATTTCTTAAAGATTTATTTATTTATGCATACAGAAACTGGGGTACAGGCGAGAAGTGCAGGGGAGGTGAGTGGATTCACCAGAGACAGAGTGGAGAGCAGAACAGGCATATCGATGAAGTACTTTGCTGATGGGAGCAGCAGGCGGATTAGGAGAGGCCTGCAGAGCCATGTGGATCACCTCCGGGGCTGTGGATCAAACTCACATTGAAGCAGCGGCTGCAGTTCGCTTGCAGTGTTGAGCTGTCACCTGTTGTGCCAACAGGGAGGGCCCCTCAATTATTATTTTTATGGTTGTTTTTAAGGGAGAAGGTAATTCCAGTCTCTCTTCTGCTGTTGTTGTGAGTGGAGTCCCAGGATATGCTTTTTAAAATATATATTTATAAGAACTGGGTGTGGGCCAGAGGTGCAGAGGATGAGAGGATACACCAGAGACAGTGGGGAGCAGAGTAGGCAGATCCACTGAAATAGACTGCTGAGGGGAGCTGCAGGTGAGACAGGTGAGTTCTGAGGCCTGTTGAGCCATGTGGCTTAGTTCCCTGGCTGGGGATCAAATTAAGGCTGCAGTGGCTAGGCAGTAGTTTGATAGTGCTGACACTTTAACCCCTGCACCACCAGGGAGGCCTCCAGGATATGCTTTTAAAATAAAGTATGGGCCTTCCCTAGTGGCCCAACAAGTTAAAGCACAGCCTTGCAGGGGTAGCCATGGGCTGCATTGCAGACCTCTCCTGAACCCACCCAATGCTCCCCTCAGCAGTATACTTTATCTGTCTATTCTGCTCCCCACTCTGTCTCTGGTAAATTCTGTCACAGCCTTTGCATCTCTGGCCTATACCCCAGTTCTGTATGCATAAATAAATAAATCCTTTAAAAAAAAAAGTATGTTCCTATGTGCTGTGGAAAGAACTTTAAGAAAATGAATGACTCTCCTCCTCCCCCCCCTTATAAAAACAGAAATTAGAAACATTGGCCGTACCAAAAAGGGAAACTTTTTTTTTTTAAGATTTATTTATTTTATACATACAAGAACTGGGATACAGGCCAGACGTGTGGGGACGGAGAGTTGAGAGGATTCACCAGAGACAGAGTGGGGAGCAGAACTGGGAGATTGACTGAAACAAACTGCTGAGGGGAGCAGTGAACAAGACTGAAGAGGCCTGCTATGTTATGTGGCCAGGAATTCCCTGGCCAGGAATCAAACTTGTGCTGCAGTGGCTGCAGATTGCTTCATAATACTGTGCTTTAACCCCATTTGCCACCAAGGAGGTTCCAAGGGAGAACATGTCTTGAAGATAAGCAACAATATCAACAATATGGGGTAGGGAGCCATTTACCTCATACCACACATGGCAAACTTCAAAGAAAAGTGTTTGGGAAAAGACAGTTGGGCAATTACTGTAGACAGTGTGAGAAAAAGAGCCAGGGCAAAAACAAACAACTTCTAAGGTTGGTGAGGAGTAATCTTAGTTAAGAATGTCTGAACTCAAACAACTAGACTAGGTATGGTTCATCTACTTAACAAACAGTTGGAGGGACTTAGTCCCACGCTCTAGTTAAAAAAGCAGATGGATTTTTAGTTTGGAAAACCCAAGAAACTGGAAGAACTAGGTTAGGGAGGCACCCAAGTAATTTCCTGGGACATTTGATGTGGACAATGTCAGTGAACAGCCAACTATTATCTTTACTCATTGTGCTATCCCCTATCCCCAAAAACCTTTGACTTAAGTGTAGTCCACCTTGTTTTTTTTTTTTTTTTTTTTGGTCAGAGATGGGAAGAACACCTTGGGGTGCTGGTGGAGGCTGGAGCCTGATACACTGAGTAGAAAGCAGGAGGTGCTTCAGGGGAGTAGGCCACTTTGGGAGAATGTCATCTACAGTCTTTCTCCCAAACTAAGGCTGGGAGTGTTCAGAAATATTATATGGACTAGTAGTGGGCTGCTGAATGTGGGGGTGGGGGTGTGCAGAGGTCAATCTCTGTGGCAGCCCATCCCAAGGTCAGGGACAGCCTTAGCCAGAGCAGCCTGAGGCCAGGTTGGCCTAAGGCCAGAGCATAGCAGTTAAGTGCATAAACTGGGAATTTGAATCTCTACTTTTGCCTTTTAATAGTTTTATCACTAATCAGAGACATTCTACTTGGGAGTAGGAGGAAGAAGGATCAAAACAGGGATGGGAAGAGCACAAGGTACTATGGTGATGGGGCTCAGGTGAACCAGGGTGGGACTTTCACGGGGACTACACATCAGAGGTGAAAACATACATTGTATAAGAATGATGTAAAATACAGATAAAAAAAAAAGCACGATAGTTTTGTGCCCAGAGCAAGTGACTTAACTTCCGCATGCCTCATTTTCCTTATCTGTAAAATGATTATATTTAACTTCTCAGATTTGTTAACAAGATTTACAGATAGCTTTGTGTGTTACTAAAATTAAAAATTTATTGGTGACAGCAAACTGATGGAATCCACTGGCAGGATCTGTAGATTGGATGTGGAAGAAGAGTGTAAAAGGAGTTAAGAATAAAAAGTTGGGGGCCTCCCTAGTGGCACAGGGGTTAAAGACACAGCCCTATCAAGCTATTGCCAGTCAGTGCTGCATGAGTTCAGGCCCTAGCCAGGGAGGCAACCCACATTGCACAACAGACCTCTCCTGTCTCAGCTGCTGCTCCCCTTAGCAGTATATTTCAATAGCTCTGCCTGCTCTGCTCTCCACTGTCTCTGGTGAATCTTCTCATGCCCCACACCTCTGGCCTACACCCCAGTTCTTGTGTGCATAAATAAATCTTTAAAAAATATGTTGGTGGAGGGTGGTATCACTCAGATGACAGGACACCAAGGAAATCATCTGTCACCCCCTCAGGATTCTTGGAATGGATGAGTAATCAAAACAGCATCAGACACAGATAGCTAAGGAAAAAACATATGGAGAATTTAAATTCTAAAGAATGGAGCAGGCTGGGATATTGATCCCAGATTGAGCAACTTGGGGCCTCAAGGATAGAGACTTCACTTGACAGACAAGTTGGGGGTTGTCATCTGGCCTCTGAGAGCAAAGATGAGATTTTTAGAGTTCATTGATAAAACTACAAGTGGAGGAGACCCTCCCAGCTATTTTTCTAGGTATCTCTCTGAGGGTGGGGTGATGGAATTAGGCAAGAAGCTTATAGCCTTCAGGGCCCTCACAGCTCTCAACTCAAAACAGTTTGATTAATTCAGTAATGGTAATAGACTTCTCTAAGTGCAGAGGGAATGGATTAACCTCTAGTTCTATATGAAGGTCATAGGAGGTCTATTCTGCTTATGTTGAGATGAGTATTTGATCCTTTTGGGGAGACCGACCTCATACAGGAAAGTGAATGGGGGAACTGACGTAAGACTGAGAGGATGCCA